TCTCGACAAACAGTTGAAGAGGGGAGCTTAGCCTCTTAGCTTGATGCTTCATTATTTACTGATATCATGGTTTTCTCTTAAATGAACACCTTACCTGGGTGTTCACTGCATTTGTACTGTTACAGGTATAGTCCAAGACAGAAACAAATTGTTACAATATATAGGCACGGTTTTTTCATTAATTTGTTCATTTCTTAATGTTGTTAATCTAAAACGCATTACTGAAACCCTTCACCTCTTAAGAATTCTGTGACGCGGACCAATGCCGTCATTTGGAGTTCGGGCCAGAAAAAAAGCTTTTGACGGGAAACGTCATAAAAACTACGTGATCCGCATCGTTGAAGTTATGGTGAAGGAGTTCTGCGAAACAGTGTGTTATATGGAACCCGACTGTGTCAGTATCAATCTTGAGAAAGGAGTGGATGGTAATAGGAAATACAAATGTGAATTGAATAATGTCACACACGAAGGACACGAAGGCGATTTGATTGAGGAGGAAAACTACTTCTATCACGCGGCTGAGGTAACTGCAATTTAGCCAGTAGGGCTCTGAGTCAACACTTCATAACAGAAAAGAAGGTCTTCGTTATTTTCCCCTGTTTTAACTCGTCGATCACCTCTGTGAACCTTCCATTTTTCTTTTTTAACTATTTTTGCCCAGGTTTGTGGGTTGATGGTCGGTCTGCAAGTTTCATTAAAACGTAAATTTTTTTCCTTGCAAGTCTGTATTGCCTGATCTCTAAGAAAATATATTTTTGATACAAGCAGCCTAAAAGAAGCCTCGTTTTTTTTTGTATGGTTCGATTTGTTGTAGAGTGCTTGCATCGAGAATCCTTGCAAGAATAAGGTAATTTGTCAAAGCGGTTATACCGACAAAGGTTACCGCTGCTTGTGTACAGCTGGATTCAGGGGTCAAACTTGTGATGAAGGTATAATAACACTGATTTCTTAAAGTGAATTGTATACAGACCTGTACATGTAAACCTAGATATAAGGAAGATTGACAAACTTGCAAATTCTGATATTGACCCCATCCTTGTTTGAAGAATTTAAAATTTCAAGCATACAATAAGTGGCAAAAGTCTTGGCACGCTCT